CTGTTCTCATGGAAAGCTCGAATAGAGATGAAAGAGGCACCGATAGCTCGGTTAATATTTACATCCAATTTTCTGTCTCCTCACTTCTCAGTGAAGCCTTTTGATATGCAATATTTTCTCAAATTAACATCCCGGAAAACTAACGATGAGGACTGCCGTTCCCTCTGCAGTAAGCGGGCAGATAGGGAACACAGATTTTGCTTTTTCTCTATCAGTTGCGATCAGTTCGTATTCTTATATGAGAAGACCTTGCAAAGACCCGTCCTGCGCTAATGGACGGTTACAGTAAAAGGCTGAAAATTGTACTTCAAGCCTTCTGGTTGCAGTTTTCTGCCGCTTTTGTTTGTAAGAATTTTTAAAGACACCCCTCTTTAGTACATGATTATTATATTGTTTTTTTAATGTAATGCATGATGTTATGGTTGTTTACCTTCGTGTGAGTAACACCCTTTAGTAAAATGCGTCGAATGGCAGTGTATTTCAATGTTTGTTTTAGTGAATAAAACTTGCACTACTCTTCGCACCTTAGTGATTGTATGGTGTGAAGGGCCAGATTCCTTTGTTCCCACTATCGGCCACAGAAATTTACATCAGTTTTGAGTTTTGGGTAATCTACCCTTTTGGCCGTTGCTAATCTTTAAGTCCATTTTCCTTCATCCACTCTTATCAGGGAAGCCTTTTAATATGTAATATTTTATCGAACAAAGGTTTTTGAATACTTAAATGATGTTAACGCCTATTTCGTCTTTTATTTTTCGAATATTTTCTTATCAGCTGTATTTGTGTTATTTGCAGTGGGAATTGACAGGCTTTTTCAATTTCTCTGACGATGGCTTCTGGTATGAAACCGAAAGCTCAGAACAATAAAACTGCCCTTCCAGAAATCACGTCTTCTTCTCTTTCTTTACAGTAGTTGGGTTATTCGTGAACATCCTTATGTCTTACTGGTTTCCTTAGCTACTGTGACTCGTGCTTTCCCCCAGATTAAAAACCTGAGAGGTATCGGTGTCACTCTATTGGTGCGAGATATAGGCGGGTTACGTTTGAGTTCCCTATTTGCACATGTGTATTGTGGTATCAGAAAATATACCAGTTTATTGGCAAGGCCAATTGACATCAGCCAATGAGGCGGTACTTAGTTAAAAAGAGCTGACAGTAAAAAAACACTGCTTTGAGTTTTTTAGGAGAACAAATGTTCAGAACAATTTCGGTAACGTTCAGTATGCCACGCTGTCAATCGATGATATGGCACTTATTTTTCACGTTCATGAGTACAGCACACAGTAGCATTATGAGGTTATTAACGCCTAATATTTGCAGTTAATCTTTAGAGTTTTGATGACCGATTCATTTTTACTCGATCAATCAGAAGGAATATGTGCCAAATAAAACAAATCTAACTCAATAATACTCTGCCGGGAATCAACAGGTTGACGAGTTTAACGAAAGTTAATAGAGATAAAAAATGTCACAGTATTGCTTAGTTAGAAGAAGAGGCCATGCAGACTTTGTAAAAAAGTAAACAACACTTAATTTACTTTATGGAGTCATTGATAAAGCAACGATGAACAAAAGAAGCAAGGACATCGGCACAGAAAAAAAACACGATGATGAAAATGGCGAGAATAGGAGAAACAAATTGAAATGTTGTTGTCGAATTATGGATTTTTGCCTGCGATTGCTTTACCCCAGGGTGGAGTCGTGCATTATCTAAAACAAGCAAAATAACGAAGTTTGGATTATTATGGACAGGAAAATGGAGAAACGTCTTGCTGCGTTTGTGCGATACTGCCAATGGTTTGATTCTACACAACCATTGACCACCGCATTGAAATAAATAAGTCCGCCTGCTGACAAAAGAAGATTTTTACCTGGAACGTTGACAGCACAGTCCACTTTTCCCAATAATAAACCACTCTTTCGACCATATTCAGGTTTCAAATGAAACTGCGTAGCAATTACCGTTTCAGCTGCTCACTTAGATTCACGCATTTTGCTGAAATTTAAGCTTTTTTACCACTGTTTTGTCGCTTTTTTTTACCTGCAAGTGAGTTTACTAAATAAGACTATCGTGTCAGCAGACGGTTTCATATCTTGTTGATATTCCGTTTTGCGTGTATCCCCTACCTTGGAAGTTGAAGCATGAATGGTCAACATGAGAAACGCAAGAAATATACGCACACGGGAATCAAAAGAGCATATAAGACGTTCTATATTGGATGCAAAGGTGGAATCATAGAGGTAAAACCATATATCAGCCATGAATGGTTCCGTTGTCATTAAGACTGACAAGACATTCTTCCAACATATATTGGCGAATCGAGAGGATGACTATTTAGGTTTAAGAGAAAGGAAAGGGATATCGGCTGTAAAAATATCGAAACTTACGGGGGAGGAGTCCTTAGCATGTCGTTTCGGAAGGAGTCTTTCTGGCTTTAGGTGCACGTAGCCCTCACTTTTGCTCGATCGGAATAACTTGAACAGAGTGACGCGTATTGGCATGAGAAGGCAGCATAGGAGGGCCAAAACATTCCACGCTTCAATGGCTGTTATCTGGAGAAGTGGCAAAGTGGTAAAACGGAAAATATGGATGTATTATGAGGCGAGAGATATTGTAGTGTCTCTCACCGAAAAAAACTTCATTAATTTATTCGCTGTGTGTTAAAAAAGTTCAAACAATTGCACCATCCTCCCACTGGAT